CTATCCACATCTACAACAACAAGATGACTGAAGATCCTACGTATATGAGGTTGTAGCTCGTCAAAACTCCACAAAAACTTATGTGAGAAAAAATATTTTACAAATACTTTCGATTAATACCAAGGACCACAATACTCATTAACTTATCATGCTTGTGTATGGGTGTGGATTAGAATGTGTAGTCGTCTATCAGTAAATTGTCTCTAATCCCTTCAAAATCTTATGGAAACCGAATTTACTATATACTATTCGATGTGCCTTGAAAAACTCTACAACATGGTATATTTGGTTTCTCATTTTTTGAATCGGCGACATTATCCAAAAACGTTCTTTAACCGTCGTGGTCAGAACTTTTGGTATACCCTAAGTATTTGTTTGTCATTGAAAAAGATTACTATTCAAACGTTTAACTTGAATTATTCATTTATTGAATGATTATAACTAGTTTGAAGTGGGTTTCCTTTAGATATTCTTATTCCCTTTTATGAAATAAAGGGTCTTACGAAGAAAATTAGTTTGAAATATTTAAAATTTGTGTGCGTGTCTGTCAGGCGGGAAAACCTGAGTAATATTTAAAAAAAATAGTGAAATATATAAAGAAAAAAAGTATATTGAAAATATATTGATTTAGTGTTCTTGTTCTTGAAAATTATGTGAACAGGGTGTGGGTGTGGATGAGTGTGATAGTTTAAAGAAAACGGACCCACACCCACACTCTCTTTTTCACTTAAAATCTTCAATAGTCTCACTTTTGACAAAAATGACTCGACTAAAAGCATACCCTAATCGCAATATATGCTGGTATCTGATCCATTCGTGTTCCCAAGTAGCTTTTTATGGTGGCATAGATGTTATTTTTAAGCCATGGAGACATAAATGGCTCCAAGTCATAGCGAAATCGGGGTTCATTTTGCAAGGCATGTGGATCAATGAGTTCCCATTCGTAAAAAGATTCGTCATGAATGAGTGAGGAACTTTTGCATTTAACATTATCATTAAAAGAAGATACTGACAGAATGCGATATCAAAAGAATCGAAGTGGAATTTCATCTTGAAAACGGTCAAAAAGTTGCCGAATTTCGTCTGTCGACGTTAAGTTATACGGTATTTGTCCATAATGATTTCTTATTGAACGTGCAGCATCGAATTCCAAAAGTAACTTTATGATATCAAAGCAACTGAGACGAGCAGCTTCATGCAAGGCCGTATTTTCATTGTGAGGCACTTGATAAATAATATCTTCCAATTTCATTAATAGTGGACTTTCATGTGCATCTGATAGATTATTTTGCGGGTGTGGGGGAAATGCGAATCTTCGCCTCATTCCTCTCTTCATAAAAAAATCATACTCACAGCACGCTCACATCTCACGCTTCAGTGGCTGTTTTCATTGGTGTAGAAGAAAAAACAATAAGCACATGGGGAATAGCGTATTT